CATTGTGCACTTTTATTAAAACTTAAGCAATAATTATTATTATTCATATTAGGTTTATTAACGTGTAAGGAAGAAAAAGTGGGTTTTACTGTTATAGTGGATATAGTATGGTAAGAGCATAATTATGGTGGATTGGTAAATTATTAGTACATGAAAAAACGATCTGTTAATTAGGTATACAAGCGACTATTGAGTGTGAAATATTAGGTTTATTAACGTGTAAGGAAGAAAAAGTGGATTTTACTGTTATAGTGGATATATTATGGTAAGAGCATAATTATGGTGGATTGATAAATTATTAGTACATGAAAAAACGATCTGTTAATTAGGTATACAAGCGACTATTGAGTGTGAAATATTAGGTTTCTTAACTTCTGATCAAATGAGTGCTTGAAGTGGAGTAGTAGGTCTATTAAGTGTGAACAAAAGACATACACACGGCTTTGTTTTGTTTTGTTTCTGAGAAAAGCATCGTTTTTAAAAATCAGTTGTGTCGTATATACTTGTTTTTTTTAATTATTTTGTTCAGTGAATGATCACGACAGTTTACACGAACCTTATACTGATTTAAAAACAGATAATTATTTATTAACCACAGTTGCTTTACTAAATGAATTTGAAATAATATCAAGCTTATTTAGGCATAAGATTAGGTTTGCTAACTACCTAGAAACATAAAGGTATATTTTAGCTAGGTCTGTGCTAATAACCTTACAAATAACATTGTTTAACAGCTGAACTTTTGGCTGCTAGTACTTGTGTTAGCCCAATTGTTTATCTCAGAACTAAAGATTTCTGGACACGCCTAATTTTTTATATGACATAGAAAAAAATTGTGTTAAACGCCAATTGAAAGAAAACAAGTTTGCACATGTCATAAATATAAAACAATATACGATTGTTGTTTGCTTTGAATGTGAAATACATGTAGCTTAACTACAATTATGTTTATACGTCATAAGTAACGTTTTCGTTTAGGTCTTATAATTTCATTTCTAGGTCACTCAATAGATATAACGAGCTTCGTTTCTCTAACAATCAATTCTAAGCTTCTTTCGTGCAACCAATTTGTATAGCAAAGCATGAGTGTGTTACAAACTAGAAATAACCCAGTTATTATGATTCTACGTTGATGAGAATAAATATATTGAATTATGTATTTAATAGATTCCACCAACTTGCTGAAAAGTTGTAAGCTAAAACACATTCTTTATACATTTATCTTTACAAACAGATAAAATTTATACCTTGACAGTTTCAGTTTGATAGCCAACTAATATACGAGTTTTGGATAGTATTTTTCTTCTTTTTATTATTATTATTTGTATTTTACCAAACCGATTTCCTGGCTTCACTGGCTACTTTCCAGCTGTAAACTCCATAAATAAAAAAAACTGAATTATTAAAATTGAGGTTTGATTAAGACAAAAAATCTGAAGGTTGAGCACGTCCCAATGGTTAGTGTGTAGAGCTGTGGATTCGAAATTCCGTGGTTCGCGTTTGTTACCTTTAAAAAAAAAGAATTCGTGCTCTGCCTATTGGGGCCGGGGTGCGTTATAAGTGTGACGGTCAAATCCCACTACTCGATTAAAGTAGTCCATGAGTTGGCGGTGGGTGGTGTTGACTAGCTGCCTTCTATCTCGTCTATTACCTCAAAATTAGGGACAGCTAACGTTGATAGTCCTCGAGTACATCATTATTAAGAAAACAATTAAACAATAAAAGACATTTCAAGCATGATACATTAACTAAATTAAGATGACCAAAACATATTTTATTCATTTTAAAAAGTATCGCTCCTTAAAGAACCCAAGAACCGAACGTCTGGTTTACCAAAACGGGTTCAAGGCATCAATTTTCATATGTTAAAAACTTTACACCTTAACAGATTTTAGTTAAAATTCAAAGAAGCGAAAAACCAAAAGACAAAATATTTTCTAGAAAATAATACATTATTCCTATTATTAAAACTCCAAAAGGAGTATGATTTACCTGAGAAAAAATTGCCTACATAAGAGAGGACAACTTTTATAATTTTGGAAGTGGTTTCAGTGGAGATAGATGTTTCTTCGAAATATATATTTCCACAAGCTATGCATTTTGAAACATTGTATGCATTGTAATTATAGAAAATATATACATTTAAGAAGTTCTCACCGGTAATATCTTAACATATATTTTCTTGCTACATGCTACGTGTTAAGAGTTTTTTACCTACAGTATAGAAAAATACTTTTCTTTAAAATTTTGTTAGATGTTTATTAGCTCAAAATCTGTAAGTTTATCCTCTGAAAAGAACAACTTTTAATCTATTTTCAACAACCTTTGTTATTTATTGTTGGATGCAATTAGCAACAACTAAAGCACTTAGAAGATGTACTGTGTTAAGTAGATAACAACTAAAGCACTTAGAAGATGTACTGTGTTAAGTAGATAACAACTAAAGCACTTAGAAGATGTACTGTGTTAAGTAGAT